TTACATTCACGTATCGGAGTTTATCTATTCGCCGCCTTATGTTCGCCGGATTGATGGGCACAACGAACTGTTCCAGAACTTTGTCAAACGTAAATGTAAGGCATACAGGCCGCAGGTCTCCTGGCGACTTCGGAGTTGCTTTTTGGGAACCGAGATGATAGTTGCCCTCTTCGAAAAACCGGTGGGGCCTGGCCCTCATTGAGCGATCGCAAAAATGTATGGGTTAGAGGTGGTGACAATTCGACACAAAACTCATTCAGCAGCTGCAATGGTAGTTCACCAGTGTGGCCAACCATGTTCTCTCAAATGTGCGATAGTTTATATGGCACTACCATGGCTGTAGATAAAATATAACGCGTTTTGCTGGCAAACAATGTGGCAATTGTTCGGTACGAAGTGGTTCATATGTTATGCATACTTGAAAAAAGATTGATTGACTCAGCTTTGGTGGTGTTATCGGCAGCTTGAAGCAGCTCCAGGCCCCATAATGTATATTTTTTATTAAATAGAATTTCTTCTTGTCTGCACTAAGACCAACTCCCGCCACTGGCAATTTTTGTCATTCGCGGTTTGCAACAACTGTCTTTGAAGCGTTAAGCTCGTGACACGCATCTTTTCGCAATTTCTTTAGTTAACCGATCTGATGACGGCTGTGTGCCCTGCTTGAGTGCTTGAGCGGTCTTGTCATCCAAGAGTTGCAGTAATTTTGCGCTGGTACATAATTTCGGGAAAACACTACTTATAAACCAACTGAAGCTTGTTCCCAAGAAACTCAGCAGCCGTATCAATATTCTGCATGTCAGAGACATCTTTCCAGTCCTTGGAACTGTCTAATAGATCAATCTGTACGTGACCGTAAGGAACGAGATTGGCTGGCCTCTCCTTTCTTGTCACGATTGATCCGCACCACGTTGCCGTGACCAACCGTTCCAAACGCCGGGAGATTTATCGGTTCGTTCGGAGAATCAAGGTCAGTCTATGTTTATTGAGAATCGCTGATCCTCTGATGGGCTCTGTCACTATTTGATCTGCTCTATGCACGTCATCAGGCCCCACACGTAGTGTCACGCCAATATTTCTTCGCTTGATTCGCTTCACTGCATTCCGCAGGCGCTTTTCAACATCAACAACAACATCATCAACGTGGCTGTAGCAAATGACACGTTCTAGTCGACAATTCGTTCACAGCCGCAGCGTTGATCTGGCTTACGTTCTTACCACAAATTAAGACCGCTTCACGTTTTCGCATGTTGTTTTTCTTCCTCTCTGCGTGGACCCACCGCTCACTACCCTCTTCATCTTCAGCCTGGGTCATCTGTTCATCAGAAACATTACCTTCCATTCCTTGCCATAGTCATGGTGTTCCACGTGTGAGTTGTCATCGTGACTGTCCAGGCACCATCTTTTGCGTCACTGGCCAACTTTCTTGGCCTTGCTGCTTTGATGCCATCCAACATTTCCCTTACATAACCTCCGTTAATATTTTGACACATTCTGCCAACTACCGCTGACTCCTTGACAGCATATCCTTTCATATCCTTTTTAAATGTCTCCTCCAGGTTCACTCCAGCCAGCTTCTTGTTCATTTCGGCATCCAGTTTATTGCCCGCAGCAATCATGGTAGCTCCACATAAGGCGCCTTGTCACTGGATTGTTATTGGGTTGTAATCGTGTTGTTTTTGTCTGATCTTGACAATTCCTGCGTTGTTATCTCATCTTTATCCTTGATTTGATCCAAACCAATACAAAAGTTTGAGTGACCATGGTTTCATGGTCGCTCTGAACTCCAAACAAGGACAATTTCCCTTCTATTCAACAAGTATTTCTTAATCTTCCTCACGCAGGAACAGCACAGACTTTCAAGCAGAACCGCATCAAACTGGAGAGTACTGATTCTAAAATATACTTCAAGCAGTTGAAAACACCGTAAACATAGCTTGTTTCGACTTAAGGCAAAGAAGCGGGAGCTCCGCAAGGCACGGCCGTCCCAGTCGGCTGACACCAGCTGACAGCACTTCGGCAGTGCCCCGCCCAGCAATGAGGCATCGCCACCGGCGCTTTCGCGCCCTCGCCTCCCGGCTGCCGGAGTGGGCCTTACAAAACATCGCCTCCATGGTGCGTCCCTCAGCGGAGGCCTGGTGATGACAGCGCGCCTGAGGGGAGGGGGGAGGGGGTGGTGGAAACACTCGGCAGACTGCGAGAGCCCGGACTGACCCGGGCCCTCGCCTTTCGGTCTCCTCCGGCCGGCACGCGCTGGAAACTCGGCCTGACCGGCCTGTTCGACGACTGAGTTCCCTTGCCGATCTTTCTATCAGCGACCGTGGCGAGATCTCTACCCGTTCCGAATATCTCGTTATGCCATGAATGACTTATAAGGCCCGATGCGCACCGCCTCTCAATATGGCACAACACACATCCGGGCCGCCCTCTCCGCGTGTGCTGCAGTATCAATGAACTGAGGGGCCGCCGCCGTGCGTAACACCTCATTCCGGATGGTCTCCAAATGGTGCCTGGTCATCGACCCAATAACCGCCATTCCCAAGATGGTTCTGGATTGCCTTCCTGTCCTGACCTACGGCTCTGGATTGATTTTCTCTCACCAACGCCTATGGATTGGCTTCCTGTCTTGACCTACGCCTCTAGATTGGCTTCCTGTTCCGACCTGCGGCTCTGGATTGGCTTCCTGTTCTGACCTACAGCTCTGGATTGGGTTTCTCTCACCAACGCCTATGGATTGGCTTCCCGTTCTGGCCGACACGTCTGGATCAGCTTCCTGTCCTGACCTACGTCTCCGGATTGGCTTCCTGTCCTGGCCCACGCCTATGGATTGGCTTCCTGTTCTGACCTACACCTCGTCACGTCATCATCCCCAAAGTCAATTAAGGGATGTAAGGGAGTCGGCAGCGTCTTAGCCACCAAAATGAGCTGTATCGTTGCCTCGCATCGCTTAGCGCCTCAAACCATAATCTGCGTGAGAGCAAGGCTGCAGTCGACAATCTTGTCCTGATTCGCATCCATAACAGTCGGGCCGTATCTTTCGGACTGACTTCCTCACTAATCCGCATTTTGGCCATTGTAGTCTCCTATACAAGTCAGCATCGTGAAGAAGCAAAGCAGAGCAGCAGCACGCAAATGGGATTTAAGTGAGCTGGCATAGTGTAAATGTGTCTATTTGATGCTCAGAATGGACGCAGCATTCGGGTATGGTCACCCGCTCTGGCTTTGCTAGCCCTTGGCACATTCGGTGGGAAACTGCGTCACACGAGTAATGTCATAGGGAGTTTGTTAGGGGTTCGACAATTGCCACTGCGAGTGGTGACAACCACTGCTAGCCGTGTCCGCTTAAATGGTTTGACAACATTAATTTGGGAATTTAAACTTTATCTTTACAACTGCTGAACGGAGCTGACTTTGCTGATCACCTTAGATTAAGGACAAGGTGATGTTTTACCCCGAACGTTCTAAGCATTATGATTATTTAAGTGTGCGTGTAAAAACACATCAACCGCTCACCGGACACCAGTGTGTAATAGTTTTCAACCCCTCGGAGCCACAACACAGCCTCAAACGGCCTTTGCCCCCCCCCCCCCCTCCAAACTTGCCAGCCACTTCCATAACCCCTGGGAGGTAGCGCAGACGACGGCAGCTACCCCGCAAGACTGGCTGTGAGAGGGCGCAGCCTAAAATGCTCACCGGACGGCACCTCATGCACATGGGCATCCGCCACCCATGGTGATCCGGCCCATCCCTTACGGCCGTTGGACCATGCCCTGGCATGCGATCGATGGGTCGCCGTGTTTGCACGCAGTGGCTGGGACGGTTTTTCGTAGTTTGGCTGTGTGTGCAGTGTACACCGGCGCGCCTGGCTCGCTGGCAGCAGTTGTGCGCGGCTGCCACCGGCTTCCAAGTGTGGGATCGGACTTCGGCGCGTTGCACCACACGCCACCAGAGGCCTCGGCCCGCGGCTTTGAACAGACGGTGGCATCGGCTCGGCACCAGCCAGATGAGCGCGAGCGGTCTTAACCATTCACACGCGGAGTGTGAATTCAGTGGAGGAACAATGGGACCAGTCCTGGCCACGCCACGGCATCGGGACGCTTCACGACTGCTTATTGTTCCAACGCTGACCACGTGGGCCAACGTTTTTCACGGCCCATCGCGTTACACGGTCGCGTGTACTGTTATTGCTACAGGGGGCGGGTCTATAAGTTAATGATGTATTCCGGACACGAATGTTGGCTTGCCCGGCAGCACAGAGTGTGTGCATCGTGTAGGTTTCGTGCAATTCACTTGTGAAGTCTTTAAAGGTGCTTTATGATGCGACGCAAATGATGCGCTATCTACGGTAACGTTTGCATTACGATCACGTCATTGCCATTCAAAAGTACATGGGTGAATATGATATTCATCATGGTTACGCAATCGCCACCATCGGGATTTCCTTGCTCCGGACAAGCTGGGAACCACGCCGAATGTCCATGCGGGCACCAAATCAGGGCAAAACAAGCCTACATCAAGCTTGAGTGCAGGTAACTGCGCTAGCACTTTTGCTTTTGCTTGCTTTCGCTCGCCATGAGTCCAAAACTTGCCCGCATTGGGATGCTTTGACGTCGGGTATTTTTCGAGACCCGAGTTCTCCTTTCATTCAGTCTTGAGCTTGATTCCAGATGCGGGCATGGACTTGATGGGGTCCCATTCAGGAATCAGACAAATTTTCTTCGAGCAAACGGAATCGATCTCCCCAAAAAATGGGAGGTTGAAGTTTTTGATTTCATTCAGGCATGCCAGATGAGATCGTCGGATGAGTTGAGCCCATATATTTTTTTCGGACCGAGTAAGGTGCCGATCGCCCCCCCCCCCCCCCCCCCTCCTCCCGGCTTCCTTTCCTCGCGCTCTTGACTTGGCCGGATACGTTTTACTAACAGTCAGAAGCCACGTCCCAGCAGGACGTGCAGGCGGTGACGCGGGTCTGCGGGCGACATCAAATAAACGGTGCACCTTCAGACCTTTATTCTCCGACTTCACTCGGAGCAGTGATGTCAGCTGCGAACACGTGGCGTCGGGGTAGCTCCGACGAGGCGGCATTCGGCCGTACCCGCAGCGGGCCCGCCGTACTCTCCAGCGAGGTGCCAGGTGCGGACACACCGCGACCCCGGCCAGCCGACCACGCCCAGTCGGCGAGAAGAACCGGCGCACCCATGCCGCACACGGCAATATCACAGCAGCGGACAACCGGCGACGACCGCACAGAGGAGACCCGGGGCCATCACAGCGCAGCGGGGCGTGGTCCACGGCGACGCGCGCTCGGTGGCGAGAATGACATAGGAGGCGTTACCCCTGCCCGAGTCCCACAGTCTGTCACAGGGGCCCGGCGCCACTCCAGCGCGAGTCCCGCAGTCTGTCACAGGGGCCCGGCGCCACTCCAGACGGAGTCTCGCGCTCTGTCTAGGGAGATTACAAGGCAACCTCCTGCTGGATAACGAATCTGCTTGCTTTAGGCTGGTAACCAGCTAATGACACGAGACACCCGCTCCAGAAAGAAGTAAGAGCCCCTGGCCGGGCACGTATTTCATGCATGCGTCCCATGCTTCGTTTCCGAGGCGCTTGGCATTGCAAATGTCTTTTTGAAGACGTCATAAAATTAGACGGCGCATGACGCAAGAACCGCGTCACATTAAACAACCCCAAGCGTAAGATGGCACAGCCGGACTGCCATCACCATCAACGACGCCGACTAGCGGACAAGGTGCACGGAACATACGCAAACAGAGCGCCCACCTACTGACACCAGACCTCAGGAAAGTACACATCCGGCCTCATGGAGGCCGTCATATACACGAACCGGGCTGAGATGCCGCCATTCAAACCTAGTGTGCGCGCGGGGTCGTGGCGCGGCAGTCGGCGAGCCCGGCGCAGCGACCCCGCGTCAAGGGGGCGGCTGACGACCGGGGCGGCCGCCCGCCCGGCCGCCAGGCGGACCATCGGCGGTCTGCGGGCCGCCGCCGACCTCGCCCGCCACTACCACTGATGGCCGGTCGGTCGGTCGGCTAACCGCGTAAGCGATGTTTACAAGACGGCTATCATCAGCGACAGGGCGCGGGATTGGTATGGGGGCTACGCACGCACCGGGCCGAGTCCGAAACATCTCTGCACGAATGGTAGCAGGCCTCGCAGGCCAGCGGCCGCGGAGTGCCCTCGGCAACGAGGTCACGGGGTCGACGCACATGTTACACGACAACGAAGCCGGTAGGCACGCAGTTAGTTGCGATGCTGCAATGCAATGCCGGCGGCGCTTAAATAGCTACACGCTGGCAGCATGGTGCGAGCACGACTCGTGCTCATAGAACATAGCATAGTTGACTGCGAGGACAACATCGCCGTCGCCGGCAAAAAGCGCCAGCTCCACCATCAGCTCGAGACGGCGCGGGGGCGACCCGGCCGGCAGGGCGACGGCCAGGGTCCGGCGGCCCGTGCACTGGCCGCCACCCGCTGCCCCGGTCCCAGCGGCAGCGGACCGCCCGCGCTGCTGTCTCCGGCCTGAGGACCGTGTCCTCGGGCCGGTCCGGCGGTCCTCTGCGTGCGAACGGAGGTTGGCTACGTCGCCGGGCCGGCGGGGCCGGACGCTCGTCAGTCGTCCCCCTCCTCATCCTCGTCGTCGTCCGACTCGATCTCGGGCATCGGGTACCGCAAGATGGCCGCCACGCCGGTCAGCTGCTCCAGCTCTGTGACAGCGCGCCGCTGCGTCAGCTGACCCGACAGGACATCGCCAGGCCACACCGCTCCGCGCGGCACACCGCCGGGTCACACTGCTCAACGCGGCGCAACGCCAGGTCACACCAACCAGCGTGGCACACCACCAGGTCACACCGTCTAACGCGGCACACCGCCAGGTCACACGGTCTAACACGGCACACCGCCAGGCCCACCCGCTCCGCGCGGCACACCGCCAGGTCACACTGCTCAACGCGGCGCAACGCCAGGTCACACCACCCAGCGCGGCACACCACCAGGTCACACCGTCTAACGCGGCACACCGCCAGGTCACACGGTCTAACGCGGCACACCGCCAGGTCACACGGTCTAACACGGCACACCGCCAGGTCACACCGTCTAACGCGGCACACCGCCAGGTCACACGGTCTAACACGGCACACCGCCAGGTCACACTGCTCAACGCGGCACACCGCCAGGTCACACCAACCAGCGTGGCACACCACCAGGTCACACCGTCTAACGCGGCACACCGCCAGGTCACACGGTCCGACACGGCACACCGCCAGGTCACCACCGTCTAACGCTGCACACCGCCAGGTCACACCGTCTAACGCGGCACACCGCCAGGTCACACTGCTCAACGCGGCACACCGCCAGGTCACACCAACCAGCGTGGCACACCACCAGGTCACACCGTCTAACGCGGCACACCGCCAGGTCACACGGTCCGACACGGCACACCGCCAGGTCACACGGTCTAACGCGGCACACCGCCAGGTCACACGGTTCAACGCGGCACACCGCCAGGTCACACGGTCATAACACGGCACACCACCAGGTCACACGGTCTAACACGGCACCACCACCCAGGTCACACCGTCTAACACGGCACACCGCCAGGTCGCATCGCTCAACAAGGGCACACGGTCTGGCAGGCAACAGCCACAGCAGACAGAACGTGCATAGCGGGGTCAAAGTTCCTTTCGAACGTGACTTCTAGCGAAAACCCCAGACACCAGTAGTACCACAATTCTATTTAACGGACAATTTTTGTAAACAATTTCATCGAGCCACCAGATGTCACGCCACAGTTTCAGCCTCACTCTGCTGTCACTCACACTCACTGCTGACCAGCCTGTTTCAATTTATCTTCAATGACGAGACGCATGGGCACGTAACACAAGAAACACGACACAGCTCTGGGATGTGGAAGCCCGCACCTGTCACTCATCAACACGAGCGGCCGCCGCCCTACCCACTGAGCTGGGGGAGCAGCTGGGTTATCGCCATGTTCGAGAGTTGGAAAGGGGCTCTCCAACTGGTGGCCGCCCGGTAAGCGAGATCAGAGGGTCGGACTCGGACTGTGCGAGAAGTCAAGGTGCGGTTACACAACGCGCGTGCCGCCAAACCAACCGTGCACGTGTTCCCGCGCCACTGGGGAAACTAGCGAGACCTCACCACGGTGAACAGCATTCTCAGCTCCACGCTCCGAACGCGCGGCGGAATGCCACTACATGGTCCTTACGTTCACCGGAGATGTGGAGGCTGGAGAATATCTTAACGTCGCCGCCGTACTCTCTGACACTGTCCACCAGGGCGACGTATTTCTTCCGTTCCGACAAGTCCAGCGACCTGAGACGGGCGACGAGGACAGTAAGCAAACATCAGAGCCCGCCCACCTGCGCCACCCGAGCCAAGAGTGTGCAGCGCGCGTCATATCCTGCGTGGTGGGAGCTTGCAGTCCACCGGTTCGCGACTCCAACAGATATCCCGAGCGAGGACGCGCCCTGCAGCGCTCCCTGTTGCCATCCAGCGTCAGGCGAGCCGCCTCTCCGGCGGCGTCTGAAGAGGCTGCTCGCCTCGGCCGACACCGGGGCAGCGCATGCCACCGCTGGTGAGTGGTTGGCCAGCCGCGCCGCCGTCGCGCCGGGGCGGCCACCGCCGCGTCGCCCCCGGGGACGGCGCGACACGATCTCGCAGGCGTCCGCCGGGACCCCGACCAAATGAGACAAGCTCGGAGAGACGCACAGGTATACAGGCGGCGACAGCCGCTCACACGGATATACCGGGGCAGGCGCAGCAAGGCGATGGCCAGCGGAAACGACGAACACGCACGGAAAATAGGATGTCTCATCCGGTTACGAGCGAGCCGCTGGGCCGACTGAGCCATTCTTCAAAAGTGGACCAGCTTTTAACTTGAGCGACCCGACCCGGCAAGGCCAGACTTGTCCACCACGCTTCCCAGCAACTAATACCTGCAACCACTGATCACAGATTCGTGCAGTTTTCAGCAACAGCAAGGGAGAGTCTCATTGTTGCCGAATGTGCTCTTTCTCAACGTGCCGCCGACGCTCTTTGATCAGCATGAAAAAAGCAATGTTTACTTATTCGGAAAATGCTCTAAAAAGAGGGCCGAGACGGAAGACAAATCTTGGCGACCCGGCGACCCAGCGGTACGAGGCCGAAAACGTTTTACGGAGGAGAAGGCGGAGAGTGGTGCTGGCAGGGATACGAGCTAACGCGTACAGCCAGTCACGCGCACTCGTGCGCAGACCACGGGTCGGCTCGTTCTCAGGCCTGTTTAGGACTGACGTCAGGTCAAAACCACCTGATTCATCGGAGCACTTGTGATTAAGCGGGAAGTGGACGACGTCACCTTTTACGCGCTCTCGAACATCATTCGACGCGGCTTTAACAAATCAAAACAGAACCATAAAAACTACACTGGCTTAGGACTTCAGTTTTTTTCTGTTCAGTTACCAGGAGTTATCGAGAGTTATCACTGGTAATCATAAGCCCAACTTATGATTACCAGTGACGTCACCTTTTAAGCGCTCTCGAAATCATTCGACGCGGCTTTAACAAAGCAAAACAGAGCCATGAAAACTACACTGGCTTAGGACCTCAGTTTTTTCTGTTCAGTTACCAGGAGTTATCGAGAGTTATCACTGGTAATCGCAAGCCCAACTTAAAACACCGAGTGCTGTCATTATCACCGATGCTTGAACTACACGTCGTTCAGAGTACTTCCTGTCATACTGAACGTCAATAACTCAGCATAAGCACTCTTAACTCGGAATCCCGAAAAAACCAGTTGAAGATCTTCCTTTTTTCTATCAAGAACTACACTGGCTCGCATTCTGCCGTGACCCGCATCGCTCAAAACAGTTGCGTTTTTTTTCAAATCGTTTGCCATGGTCACCAAAAAGCGCATCATAAAGCATTTGAAAAAGACAGATCAGGAATACGTAATCTCTAAAAAGAGACATGTCTGGGTAATTCATAAGCCTTCGCCAAAATAAACTCGAACTTCGAATACATAAGCTGAGAAAAACTCGATTATCGCGTTACGCTGGTGCTACCTTCTGTTAAGCGGCATAACTGTGACGTTATATCGCACTTTTGCGGCGATGTAACTTCTAGCGCACTTTCCATAGAAGGCTTGGCAGTCGCTGGCTCAAACCAAAAGTAAAAAACGAACTTAAATTGGCAAAGCTGTGGGCCAGTGATGTTATCACTATGCAAGCGGCCCCCATCCAAATGCAAGAAGAAACCAGCACAGCAAAGCCCGGAGACTTTGAGTGTAGCACCACCAGCGACAGAGCAAGATTGCCTCGCTGTCAATATTTTCTAACAAAGCCTGATCTCTCCCAATACGAAAGCCTTCATCTGCATGTGACGCTCCAGTTCTGGCTCACAATTTTACGTACGTTACGTATGTATTACGTACGTACGTACGTACGTATGTATGTATGTATGTATGTATGTATGTATGTATGTATGTATGTATGTATGTATGTATGTATGTATGTATGTATGTATGTATGTATGTATGTATGTATGTATGTATGTATGTGTATGTATGTATGTATGTATATACGTATGTATGTATGTATGTATGTATATACGTACGTATGTATGTGTGCGTGTATGCATGTATGTATGTATGTATCGATCCATCAATCGATGATGTACGGCGTACAAAACCACAGAGAGCTAGCTAGACTTTTAGAGCCTCCTAGGCATGTGTTCGGTGGTGGTCAGTCGCCCAGTTAGCAGCACGTGCCAGCGGTCATCCGACAACCCACACGTTTCCGGGCGTGGGCATCACCTGCGGCGGTGCGCCTGGCGAAACAGCCTGACGTCGGCGGGCCGCCGCCGGAGGCCGGCGTCTCGCGCGCGCCGCGCTCGTTACCGGCTCCTGGGATTGGCGGCGCCCGCTGCCCGATATAGAGCCGGCACGGAGTGACGCGCTGCGGCGAGTCCGGCGCACCGCGGCCGCCGACCGGGCTGGGCGCCGACTCGGAGAGCACTGGCCACACGCGCGCTGGCGCAGCGACGGAATGCGAACTGCGCGGAGCGACAGACGCGGGATGCGCGGAATTCAACGTTGTTGCGCACAAGTTCCGACTGTATTTCTTAACGATTCTGTTAAAATTGGGACACGGGATAGCCTCTTTATAACTGTGAGTAAGCAAACATGATTTCCTTCACGTCAACCTTGTTTAAATACATTGTGTCTTTACGTAGGTCACTGACCTACGGCAGGTGAAAGTCAGGCTATGGATTCAGCGACGCCAATTTGTAGGGAATCATTCAATCTGATGCGATAACGGAATGTTCGAACGAAGCCATACATCTCTGAAAGCTTCCTAGTTACTCCAGACTAGCTGTGTAGCGCATACTCAGGTTCTCATTTCGAATTTATTGATAACAGGAACCGCATTACACATCTTCCATGTAATTCTTAAAGGTCATGAAAGGTCAATGACCTAAGCTGACTCAAGTCAACATTCTGTACTTACGAACATACTCCTAACGTAATGTTTGTCGCTTATTCAAATGCAAAACTCAAGGCAGTCTTGTATGATTTTGGTCACCGTGACCTTCGAACAGTCAAACAAGGCCACTGACCTTGAAAAAGCATGCGACTCTCTGCTTAGGGCTTAACACTTATTTAGGCTCTGGGGGTACTTTGGAAACCAGCCCGAGGTTTGACTTTGTTTGGCCTTATTTGACCCGAAGGTCATGACCTATGAAACTCAAACTTTGACCCAAGCGAGTTCACGTACAGGTCAGCACACCCTAAGAATTTGGTGTCTCCACCTCTCTTAGTTCCTGAGATCTTAGCGGAGGTCAAATTGACCTCCCACCCGAGCGCAGGATATCCAGCCGGCCACCCGGGCGCGTGTTATTAAGGTACTTCACGGTGATACTCCAGCACGCATAGCAACAATTTTACAACCTTTAAACTGGTCCCCGAGCCCCCAGCATTCGGACACACGAAATTGGATAGCTCACTAGAGTACGCATCTTCTACGAACTACTGCATCTTGAAACCCAGCTCGCTGCCAGTTTAGCTTCAAAGAATGCTACACTCCCGTTCGACTCAGGCCGTCGCCGAGCAACGTCAAGAGAACTCGAGTGGCCCACAGAGAGCGTTCTCGGGAGTTCCACCGTCAGTTGGCGGGCGGGATGGTCACTCCGGGCAGCACTGAGACCCCTGACCAGCCGTCCATCGCACTGCGCGCAGAGGACACGCAAATGCCACACAGCTCGGTCCCAGAATATATCGGCGCAGTATATAGCGCAGTAGCACGACCAGGTCACGGAGACCCACCGCGTCCGTCCCCCCAGGGGAGATGCGGCGACGACGCGGGCGGCCCGGCCGGTCGTTCCACGGCATTAGTAGTACAACAAAAACTCCTACCGGCAGGAGTGCTTCGATGTTACTTCTACTGCCAATAATTACGGACGACATCAGTGCTATGCCACAAAAACTTATACTGCAAAAACTCTCACCATTGCTTCTACTGCGAACACTTCTACAGTCCTAACTCATACGAATTACTTCGACTGAAAGAACATACGCGACATTACATCTACATTACAAAACCCATACTTCTACTCGTCATACTTCTACTGCAAAAATATATGCAGTCATAGCCTGGGAACGAGTGAACTTCTACTGCAAATACTTAGACTAAAAACTGCCGGCCCGTTGATACTTCTACTGGCCCGTTGATACTTCTACTGCAAAAATCTATAGAGCTATTGCTTGCACACGGCATTACTTCTGCTGCATATACTTCTACGCGACAAAGTGCTACAACAGACTTGTGGTTGTTCTTTCTGAAAAAAGTAATGACCAGTATGCGTTTTTGCGGCGTAAGTTTTGCCGTGTACTACTCATGTCGTGTAGGTGTTTTTACAGCACAAGTAATGAGACGCATCAGTGAAGGCTGGGAAGTCTTTGTTCTATAAGTAATGATAAACGTAACTTTTTGCAGCATAACGTTCGTCGTGTAGCATTTGTGTCGTGTATGATCTTTTGCAGTAGAAGTAATGTAGCGTGTAAGTAAAGACAGCATCAGTTTTTGCAGTAGATGTAAGTACTTCAGTATAGCAGATGATGTGCATTTTGAAGCATAACATTTTGAAGCATAAATTTTGACATGTACAAATTTTTCAAGAGTATGTTTTGTGGTATAAGTGTTTGCTGTAGAAGTGATGTCGCGTATAAGTATGTACAAGTATTTGCGGTATAAATAATAACGTGCATAACTGATGCTGCCGCGCCGGTGTCGGGAGGATTTTTTACTGCAGCACTTATGTGGTGACAGCCCGGCCAG